TGTAGCTGTAGACACTCCAATGGCTCCAAGCAGAAAAAGGCACATGCCAAGTGGGTGGCTTCATGGAGAAGCACTCTCACAGCTTGAGCAAAAATGCAGCCTGTGTGTGCATGCACCTCCATTGCTCCTGCCAGTTCTGCTATGAATTCAGTAATAAATAGGCCTTGAGCATCTAACTGAACCTCACTTATTACAAGCTTTGACCCGAAAGATTAAAAGTTAACCCAACCTTATCACATGCCGAGCTCTGAAATGAATGACTTGACAGCACTTGACCATTTTGCTGGAGAAATCAGTCCTGCAGAGGATGCTGAATTTATGTCTATTTGTCTCACAAAGGCAACTGTTCCCAAGAGCAAAGTAATGCTTCTCTGAAACAGAAATGGTGTTTGTTCTATATTTTCTTCTGTTAAGATTAAATTATTCCCTGGATTATTTTCTTCCTTCGCCCACTTTTATCCCCCTAACACTTTGTCTAACCCTTGGCAGATTTTCAGTGCAAATATTTCTGCTCCTTGAGGGAATTCACATAAAGTCCAACTGCTCTGTCAAGTGGAAAGTAGTGAAGCAGACTTTGTAGCTCCCTACATTGGTAATAATCATGAAAAATCTCCAGGCTCAACACTAGAACAAATTAAAACAAAACAAGATCCAGTAGTCTGAGGAAAATAATTCTCAAAGAAAAAGGTGTTTAGAAAACTAAAAACCTGGGAGAAAGAAAAAAGTTAGAAAGGAGAATGTATTTTTTTTTAATAACAGGTTCATATTCTGAATTAGAACTTAAAACTTATCCAACTTACGTTTACTGCAAATTCCTTAAATTTTTATTTAATTTTATTTATGGGATTTGTCTATTTATGTTTTTCAACTCTTCTGTCTCTCCTTGTTTAGCACTAATACCCAACTTCAGCAAAACACTTAGCAATGCTCTTGATTCAAAATACATGAGTAATCCCTGTAAAACATGTCACTACATTCTTTGCTCTCTCCCCTGAACGGAGATGCTCTGGCTGTCATATTGAAAGTGTTATGCTATAAGCCTTGTCTTCATCTAGAGTGCACTTACCCCTTAAAAGCATGTGTTAGTAATTAAATGATAGCTTGAACAGATTAAGATTACTGAAATTTATTACGAGTCACTGCAGAGGAGGAAGATATGCAGTGCTAGCTTCAGGGTGAGTCACTGAAGTGCAGTTCCTCTTGGCTGGCCCCATCCCAATAGGGATCTTGTTACTGTCCCAACTTTTGTTAGACTCTTAAATTGGGAAGGATTTTATTGTTTTTTTATTTAAAAATAAAATAAGGAAAATCCCTCCTTAGCAGCTGCACATTTCCTGCTAGAAAAACAACTCCAAGTTTCTACAGCTAGCTGCTAGTATCATTATCAACCAGCTCTGTTGTAAAGCACAGGGAGCTAAAATGCCTCGTGTAACAAGTGGTGGGGAGTGGAACAAGCAAAACCAGAAATTTACCGTCCACAGAACTCTCTGAAGCATGACTCCACTGCCATTTCTGAGCTAAAATTACATTTTCTAAGCCAAGCTTTTTTATTTATAGTGTGTGAACTAAATACAAGCATTGCTTTAGACTGGTGATGTTCCTGTAACAGAGCCTACCCTTAGCCATACTGCTGCCTTGTAATCAGGATGGGAGCAGCCACCAAGCACCATCAGGTGACTGTGGTTTTGCTTTAGAAGAAATGCAGCTGTGGGAAGGCAGAGGCAGATCACACTCACCACTGCTGAGCAGGTGCCTTATTTTTCCAGTGCTGGTTAAATGCAACAGCTCAAGAGCATAATAAAAAGGGCAGAATTATTTCCAAAATCTATGCAATTATTTTTGTACTGATGTCACAAATCACCAGCAGCATAATCGTATATTTTTTACAATTTTAAACATAAGTTATTAACTTATGAATGGTGGCTACTTTACCTCATCATTAACTTTTTGTTCGTGGTATTTAAATATGTATACATCTGCATTAACATTTTGCAAAGAAATACAATGTTTTATAGCAGACAGTTAATTAAACACAGCACAGCTAGCTGGAACTCCTGTAATAAGCCATCACCACATGCCAGAATGCTTTGAGAATGCAGTCACTGATGAGGAACTTAAACAAGAGGAACTAAATTGAATTTTAAAGTTGTATGTCGCTGGAACAGAACTCTGCATCATTGGATCAGCTTTGATCACGTCAAATATAAACCTGATAATTTTCTCCTCCTGTGACAAAAGTTCAAAGGCAGAGAGTGAAGTAGAATAAGATGTCACAGTTCTGTAAAATACACTAAGTATGGAATTCAGTTCTGTGTTTATAAAAGTCAGCAAGATTTTTTCAAAGCTTATTGCTTGGAATTGACTGTCTTCCCACTGCTGATGCACCATCACTTGCAAGCAGACATTTGAAAAACAAAACAAAGAAAAAACAAAACACAGATGCTTTTTGCTGTAGATTAACAACACTTGATTTCAGTCACCAGTGGTTCTCTTTAGGCAAGAGGTATTTTTATAGATATTAAGTGGAAGCTGGCATGTAAAATTACCTAAATACCCAAAGAACAGAAGCCAGCAACTAAACTTAAAACTTTACTTGCACACTTCCAGAAACATTCAATCGCTTCACAGTGCCCTCGCTCCTGTTGCAATATCCACCTCAAAGACAAAGGTCTAATTCACAAAGAAATATGGTGGACATGTTTCATGATAAATGGGTGATAACACAAAGGAAGTCTTGTGCCTCCAAAGGCTTAAGTCTGTTCTGTCATGGAAATGAAACCTTCTTACAGCTTTTTACAATGGAATCATGATTCTTACAACAGGCAATATTCAATGTGCTTAATGAAAATCCATATTTTTTAGTTACTGCACCTTTCTAGACTTTTAGAACGGATTCTTATGAGAAAATAAGTCCTAGCATCTTTCTGTTAATAACATTAACAATACAGGACTATTACTGTATTGTTAAGAGACGCTGTATATCATCATAATGACTACTGGTATTTTAAGGTTGCCCAGAAGCAAGAAAATTAGCTACAACTATGATCATTTCTCATTTAAACTCAATGGATTTTCTGTATTCTTTATAGCAAGGATTTCACTTGCATAACAAAGAGCCAAACTTTGCATTGATTTTAAAATTACAAGCTTTATTATTATTTTTTCTTTTTACTTAATTGTAGTACACTCTGTAACAGTCTTAGTTTTATCTGGATTTTATTCAAGCTTTTCTGGCAAAGTTCATCCAGGAAAAAAATTATACTTTTGCTCTGCAGATGTGGGCAAAATAATTGTTTTTCCTCAATCAATATATAAATTAGTCAACACTTAACTTGCCATAAAAATAAATTTGCTCCACATTGATTTGTCTCTCTCTTACGGTAGTACTAATATTTGCCTACAAATGTGAATTTTATTTTCCTATCAGTAATGATGTTAAACAAACACTGGGACATGGCACCCTGCTGGCTAGGCAAAAGACAACAGAGAGAAGGATGATATTCATGTACCAACAAACACAAGTACACAAAAGCACCACAAACCAAAACCAAGTCACTCCTAAACAGGTGTCACTATGGTTAGTAAGACCTGAATACTCCCCCAAATCAAAGTAGCTGTAGAAATATTATGGTACATAATAGATAACCACCTGTGTAAGAGAAAACAGACACTCCCCTAATACACAATATAAAGCACACACTGCTCTAGGTAGAATCTGAAACTCAAAATCAACCTGTATCTGTTATAGAGAGGATATGTTAAACAGATGCATTCTCATGGATTCTGCTGACAAAACCAGAAAGAGACAGATGATAAATGTGAAATTTCTAGTTGTATACCAGGACCCCAGTGATCTTCACAGCGAAAGTCAACAGGCATAAAACAACCCCCACAGGTTTGTTTAATAGCCTGCTAGTAAATCATCATACTAAAGCATTAACTAAAGCATGAGGAGGTACCTGAATAAATAAAGCAAAGTACATTTTATAAATTATCTACACAAAATACAGTCTTCTCTTTGCAAGTGTCTGCCTATGGGTCACTAGGGACACCCAGGAGAGTCCTGAGTTTGAAAAACTGCCAGCAAAACAACACTTTCCATTTCTATGCCTTGGGGTTTTTTCATATATTTGCTTTCTGTGGCCTACTCTGTCTTTATCAGAAGCCCATCAGGGAGAAGATAAACTGGCTTGAAAACAGGTATTGAAAGAAAAAACATTGTAAAATATTCTGAAGAACACCTAAGAGATGTTTTCCAGGAAATATTTAAGAACTGAAATTTTTCATTTCCATTTAACACTACAATTAGGTACTGCATGCCTCCTGCCAGCACTTCAGAATTTGAGCTCAATTATCCTCCACTGACACAACAGAGATCCCTTTTTCTCTAAGAGTAAACAAAACCAGCTATTTTTCCATCTTCTTGCTGGAATATGCTAATTTTTAAATTGAAATATCTGAAATATCTGAAATATGCTCTCTAGAAAGGACAGTTCAGACCAGAACAGGGATTTGAACCTGCTCCACTCCTGCCCTGGAGATGCTCTGCCCATCCTACTTGTATCTGCCCTCAAAGGAGTTCCTTCTCTGGGCTTATTTGTGAGAACATTCAAGACTCGTCAGTCATTTCCGTGTGGATTAAGACCAAAGAAAAACCATAAGTGAATTTTTGTTTTTGACAGCTCTAATAACAAAGCAGTGATTCATACCATCCTACTGTGGATTGCACAAATGCATTCCTAGAATAATGCACACAGAAGCCCTAAAGCTATACTTGTCACTTCATCTTTTTCAACATGTGCACTAATCAGCCTTTTGCAGTGATGGAAACAAAAGTCATTGAGTAGTTGGAAAAACATGATATTGTAGTCACAAATGCCATCTAAATTGCTACTGAAAGTGCCCACAAAAATTACAAGAGAAATACAAACAAGTCATCACAGACAAAGTTTTCAACAGCCCTGATGATAGCCAGAAGTGGTAGTTTCCATGCAACTTACCAATTTGTGAGTGAGCTGGATGGTAATAAGAGGAGATCCTGACAGATTGTGGGACAACTTGGGTAGAGGCTCCACTTTGATAGAGATAAGGTAACTGGTTGCTGAGATCATATAACCTTTGTAGGCAGCAGCTTCAGCAATCCTTGGAAAGAAACATATATTAAGGAAGTATAACAACAATTTATTTTTTTTAAATTTCATCCACAAACTCCACAACAACAGAAACACAAGATCTTTTTCTTCAATTCAAGACAACACATTTCTATAGGGGAGCAAGATCTGGGCCCAAAAGATCCTACTGGAATAGAAGCAACAGTTACCAAGTATAGGGAACAGCTTTAGACATTTGAGACCTGTTATCATAAATATTCCTTCATTCTGCTCCTCTTTTGCAAAGATTTACAAGCCTTGCTGAACGTGCTATATACAATGAGAGAGAATCCTACAAAGTAAAAGATCTGAAAGTAGCCTAACTAAACAAAGGAACCTAAATGAGGAGAAAACTTGTGGGAGTTTCAGGCTGCCTAATTAAACATACATATTAGTGTGCAAGACAAAAAAATACAATACATATAAACATTTATGTAGGGATATATTTAGAAGTAATTAATAGCTTCAGTTTCAAAAATTTATTATGTCCAGTTATGTGTGCTAGAGAGCAAGTCAGGTCACAACACAAACAGCTGAACCTAACTAAATATCTGATCAGTGTAGGTAACACTTTTTTCTAGGCTGAACTAAATTTTTGCAGTAAATATTTTAATTTTTATTTTCTTTTATTTCTTTTATTTTCCTTTATTCCTTTTATTTCTGCTTTCAGCTAAAACTTATGACTTTGGTATTTTTTTGCATATTTAAGAGTAACTAAGATCCATTTGTCTGTAGAATAAAAGATTTACATTATCAGAAACAAACCACGCTGAAGTAAAATGCTCTCTGTCATCTACCTCTTTGGTATGTGAATGAATGGTATTTATTATTACAAATACAAGCCAAGGCAAATTAACCATCAGCCTAGATTTTCAAACATAGCACCCCACTGGAGTCAGTTTGCAAAACACATTAAAAACCACCTTATTTACATCTGCCACCTCTTTGCAATGGTCTCTTATTTTTATTTTTAAAAAGGCAAAGTCATGTCAGACATTTAAATGACTTGCTTCATTTCCTCAGCAAGATCAAATAAAAGCAGAACTCACTTAACACAACCCTAAGCACCAGTCCTTAGTTCTGACCACAAAAACACATCAGTACCAGATGCTCCCAGTAACCAGCATGTGAATTGAATTTATTCATCCAATGGCTGAATTTGCTAACTCTGATATGAACACTAAGTTTAGACAAGAACTGATGATGTTAAGACCCTTACCTCACATTTTCAGATTTCTTGTGCACAAATTAACAAGATGGACATTTTTTTCACACCCAGTATCTGTCTTAACTATAGAGAGCTAGACGAATTTTCAAGTGTGAAAAATTTCAGCACAAGCAAGAAACAGTGTTCATGTGTTTTGTGCTGGCATACACAAGCCTTTCTTCACCATGGCTCTGGATGTCAGATGAAAGTGGGTCTCATTGGATTACTTTCAGTGGGATTACTACAGAGTTACACAATTTGTATATGAGCAGGAGCAGAGCTAGGCTCAAAATCTTTTTGTTTTGATTTTTTTAAAGGAATCAAAATTGCCCCCCCCCTTAGAAACTGCTGTTTATGTAGTCTGAAAATAGAAGTCATCTGTCTGTACAGCACAAAAGCTCCAAGAGTTTTGGTTTTAGCTTCTACCACAACGGGAAAAGAAAGCAAGCTCTTAAGAAAATGGATAGGCTTCAAATAGCAGGTGCTCCAAAGTACATAAGACAGTCTTTAAAACAAACTACCGTGGGAAAACTTTGTTATTCTACTGAAATGTAAGCAAAAAAAGTTATAATAGCACAGCACAAAAAAAGAAAACCAAGCAGAAGAGAAGTGCATACTTATTTTTAAAATAGTTTTAGAATGCCTGGGGTTTGATTCCACAGAGTAAAACTGCTAAGCCAGCGTTGCCTGTATTACTTGGTTTTTAGATGCTGTTTTGGACAGATCTTCATCTAGAATTTTATAGACATGATTGTGTAGGGCATTACATACTGCCCACAGTTCAAGTACTTTGGACTAATTATAGAAATCTAAGAGATGTTTCTTCTTCAGTCTCGTTAACATTGCAGTAGAGCCAGATCCTTCCTTCTTGAAAATGAGTTCTAAAAAATATATAGAACTCTGTGGAATAGAAATGAGTCTCCAGGTTGTCCTATTTCACAAAATTTAGAGAACGTACACAAATATAAGTGCTTTATCTTCCTATATCAGAGCCCCAGGAGCTGTAGATTCTAAAACAATGTACCAGAATACAGTGTTTTGACACACAGCATCTTTAATCAAATTGTGTTTGCTAAACCATAGACCATATTAATTTTCTTTCTCTCTTTGAGAAGCTGAGATTATAGCTTATTATCTTAATAAACTGCACTGATACTCCTGTTTGAAAAACATCAGATGTCATAAATTATTGCCTCAGTTTCTTCATGTCAGTAAGAAATGTTGCACGCTAATGACACTGTTCCTTCACAGCCACCTGCTAAGTGCCCTTTTTTGAGAGAGCAGGGTAAACAACAGTACAGCTTGCTACTTGATTTAAAAATTATATTTAGTAATAGCCATGTGATTATGGCTGTGTGATCAATCTGGCCATAAGCCAGGACACTTTACCCTGACATTCAGAAATGAGTTAAGAGATCCTGACCTCCCCTGTAAGTGTATGTAAAGAAAAGGACACAATCCCTGACATTCATGACAGCCGAGATGCTGCATCTTTCCTTCTGCTGTCATAAACTAATCGACATACCCCAGTGAATATCAAATACAAACAAAGTCATACTAGCTTAAAAGGAAAGTGTAATGATTTACATTAATGGCCTTGCAAAATTCCCTGGAGAACTGTATTGCCAGGAGGTATACAGCTCTGTATTTACTCTATCTTATCTGCTAATGATTTCATTGATGTAGCATATAAAACAAAAAGGTCTTTTAAGCATTGCCTGGTCTCCTGTTATAAAATTACCTTACAGGTTTCTAGGATTAGGATTCACATTTTATCTGAAGAGGGATGTTTTACTTTCTTACTTGTTGCATTTAAGCGCAAGCTTTATCTGTATATGTATCAGGAGAAAAGATGTAATTTCCTTTTATTAGACAGATTAAAATTACAAAATTCTAATGCCAGATCTGATTAATGAAAGAAGAAGACAAACATGTCACTGTGGGAATCTATTTTATTACAATATAAATTAAAGCATCTAATGCAAGCTTTAATCTCTCTTGTTAATGACTACATGTCAATAATATTACAGAATCATGTTTATGGCTCATAATTTATTTACAGTTGATAATGACATGACTGTGATAAAGGTGTATCACTAAGGTAATAAACAAGCTGTTATAGCATAAGAAGTCTGAGGTACTTACTTGGTATCCATAGGGTTGATATTATGAAAGAAATAATGCATATTATGGTAAAGCAGGCCCACAATGGTAATCCAAGCTGTGAAAAGGGAAGACAGGTTATTCCTCAGAGCCTTGACTTTTATAGACATTCACATCTTAGCTTTAGCTGATATCTGATTATTCTTCTAAGTGAAAAAGTATTAACACCTTGCAGTACGACACAGGAGACAGATCAAAAGTATAAATATAAATTATAAATTGCCCACGTGGTACTAGAAAGGGTTATGACATACTAGAGTCAATGTCTCAATGGCAGCTACAGTCATCTCAAGGTACTTCACCACCACCTATGTTCATCACCAACTGTTTGAGGTGGAATAATAAATTTTTAGGTTAGTTCATTTGGACAGTGTAGAAGTGTGGCCTGAAATTACTCAGAAACGAGTTTTAGCTGGAAAAAGAGTTAAACTTTTAATAGGCTGTATCTCTTCAGGATACCAAGCATGATAACATTCTGAAGAAAAAATAAAAATCTGCATTGTGAGATACTTTTTAAATGGGAAAGGAAAAGAAGTCCCCTCACATGCTACTTTTTGGCATCACAAGTTGGTTTGCAATTATAGTTATTCAAGCCTCAGAACACTTGCAGTGAAGTCTCCAGCCAGAGCCCCCTGACAGTGCAAAGAAACAAAGCTGTCATCACAAATCAGGTAGACAGCTCAGTAATTATCAGAGTATTTCTCACTGCAGGTTATCTGCAGCTAACTTCGCACTTTATGAGTAGGCACCAACCTTCCTGCAGCAGAGGTGACTGTGGAAAGGTCTCTGGGTGTGTAAATTGTGTGGGCTGGAATCTAGGGCACATAGGTGATATTGTAAAAAATTTGAGGACGCAGGCAGACATTTTTGTAAATAGGTTCCTTCAATCCCTGATTCAATCATAGATAATTCACTTCAAACATATTTTAGAGTCTTGGCTAAAGCTTCAGAGTTTTGCTATAACTTGTGCTTGGGATTACTAAAATTTTAGCTTAGGTATGGATTTCTGAGTTCTGACTTTTTGCTTTGACTGTAGTTTACATCATTCTGTTTCTGTAGCTGCTGCAGCAGCTTAAACCCATTACATTATAGTTTAATTTCATACAACATTTTAATAATATTTTTAGTAATACATGATATGACGTCCTGGAATTTCTTAAAAATAGCCAGCTCAGATTATTAAAAATAATGTATGAAATTATGGCTTCTCTCATGTAAAAAGATGGCTTCAGTCTTTGTGGCTCATCTCTATTACTGAAGATTAATTCAAGTAATATGAAAATTCTACCACAGTAATTGATCAGTATGAGAGGAAAACTGCTGCTTTTTTAAAGCCAGTATGACTGACAGTGATCAAATCACTTACTTGGAAAAATAAACAAAAACCGGTTTTCAAGAAAAATAATTTTTTGATACCCTGTTTACATGCCTCTGCTGATCCCTTTAAATTCTTCCTTACCTTTTTCATGAAAAGCTTCACTGGGAATGGAAATATAACTCTGTCCTTGAGATGGAAATCGATAGTGGGACAAATTCAGAGTCTGAGGATGCATTTTGACCAAGGTGTAATCTGTGTGATAAACCAAACAAAAATATGATAACATCAATAGTCTCTACAGCCTGCTTGGCTATTTAACTAGACTTCCCTAACAGCTATTGTAAGTCTTGAATTTAAACCTCAGATGTTTGCAGAAAATATAGTAAATTCCCTGAGTATAAAATTGTCTTTCATTTCAAACTCCTTCATGACAGAGGAGATGGAATGTGCACTATTAATATACCATGGATCACTTCACCCATGCTCAAACACTGAGCTTACCAGGGCAAGCAAAAAAGATTGATAACACACGCACCACTGACATTTGAAGGTATTATTTTGGACCTCCACTGCTCCAGCTGGGAGACCATGTGTAGGATTAATGGTACTGGGGACTGCTCAGGTCATTTGCCTCTTCACGCAGCTCTCAACAAGGCAGAGCACAATGCTAGAAGAAATTAATTACCCTTGCTACCTGTAGCATCCAAAGGTGCAGATGAAATTAGGGTGCTAAGATGCTAAATAGCAGCAAAATAAAAAATTCCAAAAAATAAAAACCTTGCATAAGTAAGATTTTGTCGAAGTTGCAGAGGTCTGTATGTTAAGTGTTGCGTAAGAGCTCTATGCTCTATGGCCTTTAACTGCCTATTAGTATAGAATTACTAGACTTGTTTCCTATAATTCATATTCTAAATCCTCCCTCCCACTCCCCCATGTAACCTCAAGGAAGTCCGGACTAACTGCACAGTCGTCTTTCTACAACCAAAACATGGGTTTATATTCAAAAGAGAAAAGTATCTGATTTCCTCTCTTGTTTTGTCAAAGGAGGGACTGCAAGCACAGAAGCATTTAGGGCATCCAGACAATCCCAAAAACATTCCTCCCAAGTCCTACCTGCTATAGATGACGTGCCCTCAACATTTAAAGGTAACGAGTTTTCATCCAGATTGCGTGTCATATGAGCCATCACACTGTCAATAGTTTGAATTACACTTCCAAATATGTGAGTGGTCTGAGGGAAGAAGAAAGAGAAGGCTCTACAACAAAGGAAGTTGCAGTTCATAGCACAAAATGCCAAGCTGCCATGTTAAATTCCTGTGTGACTCATCATCATGACCAAAGTCAAACGGGACTGACTCCACGAACTCTTCCACATCTAATGGATAAAATGTTACACAAATTGACGCCACCCAGATCCTGACTTTATAGAATACTTTTTTCTATAGAATGTCTCCAAATTACACTCTGCTCCCACCAGCCTTTTGCAATCAATTGTACTCAGGATTCAGCAAAATGAGGCAAAAAATTGGGAATATTATTTTGACAACATGTAAAGACTGGTATCAGATCTTTATTGGAACATAAGCTAAGACACTACAGCCTTGCCTCTCTCTCATCTTTATTAAAATGGTCTCTAATATAAAGCTACTTTCCAAGTTTTTATATGTTACCTGGAGAACAACCCTGCAGGTGGAAATTTGATCCATAACATCTCAGAGTGAATGCATGTTTCAATGATAAAGCAATCTATTTTATCTGAAATCTGTTTACATCAGAGATGATCAAGGATTTTAGGCTAAGAACTTAAATCAATTAGAAACCTTTTTGTCTCAAAAGCATTTCAGGCTTCAATAAAACCCTAATTTACATTAGCCTCTCCTTCTTTCAGTTTAAAAGCTCTCTGTTCTGAAATCTGTGCTCCCTTAAGATTCTAACAAAAACTCAGGAAATTCCTGGGTTCCTCCCACAAGTATTTCTCTGAAATCTAAAAGGTAGACTAGAAGCAAAATAACATTGATGCAAGTTCCTTTTCCCTCTATTAGGTTTGATCTCTTTCAAAGCTTCATTTCACTACACAGGTAAACACTACCACGTATTTCATGTGCATTGAAAAACATCAATCTACAAAACAAATTAAAAAATTTAAATATCAAAGTACTGTGCTAAAAAGGAATGATTAAGCACTTTAGTGACAATATTTGTTAATTTATAATAAAAATAAAATTTTGATTCATTCCTCCTGAAATATGTGGAAACAGCTACAGATAAAGTTATTATTTTAACTCTTAAAAGTACATTATAAAAAACCCTAACAAGAAGAATAGAGGCAACCAGTTTCATTATTATCTATGCAACTGAAATGCAACCCACAGATCCAAGCCCAGTTGCCTTACCTCTGGTATATCAATCCAGTTGGGCAATAACAAGAAGTCTTCAATAGCTTTTAAAAATGCCTAAAAGAGAAATAAAAGTATATTATTTATTGAGTAACCAGATACAGCTCCTGGTAAGCATCCCAGGCAGATTTCTGCTGGGATTTTCTTAGGTTTATTTTAAGATGACAAGCCCATTTTCATTCCAGTCACAGATTAATCTTTACTTGCCAGCACTCTCATCATGTTCTATATGGTGACATTTTAAATTAATACTTTATTTTTTGGAAGTAACATCACTGTGGAACTCCTGAAGTGCAATCATTATACTATAGCTGAGGTGACAACACTGGAACTAAGACTAAATAGAATTTATTCTTCCATTTTATTAATGGGAGAATATGACATCAATACCTCTTTTAGTTTCAAATGGGTAGATAAATATCTGGGTCTCATCACTTGTAAAATTTATTATCTCCTTAGCTTCTGCAATCAAAGGGTGTTTTTGAGGTCAAGAACTGTCATGGTGGGCACTGTTCAAGTGCTCAGCATGATACAGTCCCTGTACCTAGGAGGAAAAAATTACAAAGAAAATTATAAAATTCTTATTTCCTGCATAAATATTTCTGTTAAAATCCCTTTAAAACATCAATTGAATATAGAAAATTTCCACTGAGAAACATGGAAAAAATCTACAAGACTTTTCTTCTGTGTTTTTTCTAACACAGGTTAGACTTGTCAGAAGCATTGTATTATATGTGTCAGAATTCAGAAAGTTTATTGCGTATCACTTAAATCAAATGTTCTTGTGCTGTGAGGCATATGACAATCAGGACAGAGATAACTTTACAGAAAATATCATGCATGCTCAGTGCCTGCCTTTCAGGGAATTAGCTGCAGACAATGCAAATCCTAAGCATCAATCAGACAAATGACAGAGTCTGTATGTATGATCAGGACTCTTTTGTATTTACTTCCTAAAATAGATCTGCTAAAGATAATCATGTCCCACATTTCTGTCTGCAAATCATTTTCATGGCACACAAAGCAGCATCAGATGGCATGAACAAGCAACCAAATGGCAGCTGAAATGATGTGGGAAACAGGTATGAAATCTGACAGGGTGATGTTCTATTTTCAATTTAGAACCCACAACAAATTTTTAGCAGAAAAAGGAAACAGTGTATCAGAGCTTTTTAGAAGGGTTTTTGCTACATATTAAACAGTGAACCACGAAATCCAAGCTTTACAGCTTGCAAATGCTGAGCTTTTAACACAACTATCCACAGCTGTCCATGTAGTCTTCAGAAGCATTTATTTATATTGTTTGTCTGAGTAAATAATCCTTGTCACTCTGGGACTTAAAGGAACAATCAGTAGTGAGGCCAGAGCTGATTACTGTAATAATAGCTTTCTAGCCTGCTGAAATCAGGGAATTAGGTGCCCATCATTTTACAGAAGAATAACTTTATGTTAGCAGAGCATGACCCCTTGTTCTCAGCTTAGACTGCAGAAATTTTTATTTATTTTTTTTTCTTCCTTTTCCTTTGTGGATTAGCTTAAACAAAAATAAATTACTCAGTTAAGCTTGGGACCTGATCTTTCCATGAACCAGTTTCAGTGGAGATTCGTGATATGTCTGCACAGGAGTCCTGGCTGTGACTGGAATCCAGAGCACGATAAAGCTACTAACTCACAAAAGCCAAGGACAGCATCATCACAAACAGGTCCTCTCCCACATCTCAACACCTCCAGCTAAGAGAGCTGGCAGAGCAGAGTCCAGAAAGAGCAATGCATGACGCCTCAATGAGAAGAAGCCAGAAAGGAGGCACAACTTGCAACTCTGCTTACTACAGGAGCAAAAAATGCTAACAAAAGGTTGGGAAGACGATGCAGGAATTTGTAACTTCTTAACCCTCTAGAGCAGGTGTGAATCTCAAAGATAGTATGTTACATTTATGCTTGAGCAGTTCCCAAGGATAGATTAACACAGCCACAACTAGAGTGGCTCCCTGCATCCCAGTTAGTCAGTTTGCTATTAGCACATGAATGTTTCAGTTTTGCTGCTACCACTACTCTGATTACAGTGTATTATGTCCTGCACCTGAAAGATGACTGCCAAACACCACTGCATTTTCGATTAGCTGGACCATGTAGAGAAATGCTGATTTTTTTTTCCAGAATTATATATTCTTCAGTGGATATACTTGTAGCTGAAAAAAAAAAATAACAAGTTTTTCTCTCCTCCTGTTTTCTGCTCAACTAATTTTTTTATTTTATTTTTGTGTGTGTGGTCACAGTTTCAGATATTTATAGTTTATGCATTAAATAATATCCCCAAGAACTAATGAGGGAATTAAACAATTTTCCCTGGCTGAAGCTCACCTTCTGCTACTCTCTAAAATAGCTACTGCTTTTCTCATATGTATTTTCTATAATCAGCAAAACTTTGCAGAGCTGCATTCAATATTCCAGCTTCTGCAGGAAATTCAGGGTCATCTGGCTCCACACACAGGTATAAAAGACACTTACCTCTGTCAGGCTTAGGGCAGTATTTTCTGACAAGGATTTGTTGGGCAAGCTGAAGGATATGTTCTCCAGGTAGCCCAGCATGGCATCAGGGGAGCGGAAGTTCCCTCTTTCCTCAGTCAGATTAATTATGATGGGACGATAAGCATTTGTAGAGAGCTACAGGAGAGATACAACTTATCAGAAGTTATTCCATACAGCAGCCATTACTTATTTGTTTAGTCCAAAAGGGTGTTTGAAGCATAGCAAACTGCTGTAGTTACACATAAGAGACTATATAAGCTAAGGGAAAAGAAAAAGATGCAGGTAGATGGGATAAAAGTAATATATGGCACAGTTGAATTTTTTCATTAGCAGTTCAGGTCCTATCTGCCATCATTTCCTGAAAGCCTCTGTGAAAAAGAAGAAAATAGCAAAATGTTTCTGAATGCTCTGTATCTTCTAAGTTAAATGAAATACTTCAGAAGTTTCTACATTTTTCCACACTTTTTTTTTTTTTTTTTTTTTTTTTAAATATAGAAAATATATGTATTTAACAATTAATTCCCTTTATCTCTCCTATGTTAAGAGTTTTGTAGAACTCCCATCTTCCTACCATGGCTAAAATGTCTCCCTATGTGTATCTGAAAGTGTTTATAATTGGGGAAATAAGTGCCATTAATGAAAATTGCGAAATGAGGAGGCTCTGTAACTGGACTATATACACACTCTGACATTATAGAAGAGGGTTATGAGGACTACTCCTACCACAGGTTTTGTAGTAGTTGTCATCACAGACCATGGAAGTGTTGAAGAAATCAAAACTTGCACACCTGGAGAAAATCCATACACAAACGAATGTTAACAAATATGACATTCCTACTGCAGGCTGAATCAGTTTTAACCAAAATAAACACACTTGTTGTTCTGTGCATTGTATTTATCTGCAGTACCTTACCTACACATGCTTCTTTAAAGCATTTAATTTACTGATTAAATTTTATTTTGCTGTCTTCGTATAGATGAGCCTTGCAATTTAGGCTGAGTCTTGAACACTTGAATGTTTGTTTGCAAGTAGGAAATTTCAAGTGTCCTATCTTAATAAAAAAGGACAACTGTACAATTAAAACATTGGCATCCATCTTCTTCCTGTAGCTCTTTCCCCAACATTTATGCAAAGTATTTAGGGAAAAAAATTTAAAAATATATAAACCTATGTCTTATAAGAAATAAATAATTATCTGTAGGCACTTCTGACAATTTCTTATACAACCTTACTGTGTTTCTCTATAGGTGATAGACTGAGACTGGGAACAGACAGACCCTAGAAGAAATGAGACTCATGTCTCAGCTATGATCTCCAAATGCTAATGTTTACATACATCTTGAGTTTAAATTGCCTTTAAGCATACTATAAATCATGTCTCATTAGGTGTTTTTAAGTTGATTTCAAGTAATAGTGATGTTGCTATCAGACAAACTTTACTAATAAATGTCACACACCAGCACTATATCCCTTGAAAAATTCCCTATGATCATGTCACAAATTATTTGTCGAGACAAAGAGTAAACTCAATTTTGGATGGTCTCCAGTTGCTCCATTAAAAAAAAAAAAAATTGGTTCCTTTCTGTACAAAGAAATGTATTGGTCATTTGTGATAGAGAAATAAAATTTTATTCTAATCCACATCTTACCAAGAATTTATATTTGCCAGAAGTGTGGCATTGCAACACAATCAAACAGTAGCTGCACATATAGGACACATTTTTCTCATGGACCCAGAAGGAACATGGTAGTTCATTCAATTAAAAAACAGACTGACCTATTAAGTTTCTTTTTCAAACCACATTAACCCAGCTGCAACCCTGCTTTAAGTCCTCCAAAGTCAATAAAGAGATACCAATAATAACTTCTGTTTACTCTGTTGATTATTTTTTTAATATCCATTGTTTCCACTGACAATGTTCTAACTTCATCCATCAAATTGGAAATTCTATAAAGTCTGTTTCACTACTTTGAAGGAAAAGCAAAGTAGTCAATACTCCACAAATGCTTCAAATCACCTGAGCACTTTAAAACAATGCTGGCTTGAAATTCTTCACACTTACAAATATACATATATAAAACTGGCATCCCTTAACATTTTAATTCATAAGCCCCTAGAAAATACACAGCAAGCTTCACTTTCAATGAAGAGGCTAGAAATTAATTTTTCACAGAAAAATTATTATTTCTGTTCACCCTGAAATGTTGTGAATTAGGGGTTACAGAAAACAAAACAAACACCTCATGTCAGGTAAATTGCAGTAAACTCTCAAACTCACAACATGAAAAGAAAAGTCAGAAATACTTCATTTTAGAGATATCAGAATGCTTTACAGGCAAAGTTCTTTACAATTCTTTAAAAATTTAGACTTTAGCAGAATTTGAGGACCTAACTCTCCTTGCATTGTTTCAAAAGCTACAAGCATTAATGTCCAGCAACCAGGTATTTTGAGCCCCAGTAAGACTATTTTTAAAACTAAAGTATAGAGGAAAGAAATAGAAACGTTAGTCCTGAACATGATTTGCATTTGTGGAAAGAGCTTTCCATGATGCCTTGATTATTTGTTAAGGGTGAAGACAGGAGGATGGACAGCCATGATCAGCTTCATTCTAAAATATCTACTGCTCTTGAGTTTAGCAATATAACATGGTTCTTAAGTTACACTAAAAAAATGTTATTTTAGGTAGCTTCAAGTTGGATAGTGTTATAGTAACCCTAGATTGTTGTGAAAGATACAACGGTCAAATAAAAAAAGCATTTTTTTCCAGCAAGACCATCAATAAATTATTTTTAAAAATATTTTAAAACTATTAATAGTCTCCCAAAACAGATTTTTTTAAGGCTTTCATAGGAATCACTTTTTAAAACGTATTTTAAAATATGAGTCTTCAGCACAAATGCTATTTGGCAAAGCAGATTTCTATCAGACAGAGTGTTTTCTTTCTTAGTCACTTTAATTCTACATAAACTAGTTTGTATTTTCTTGTTGATAAAATATATTTTATATATATCTGATTACTATAATCAAACCTGGAAGTCAAACACATACATCCTCATTTCCAGGCACGCACCAGAAGTTTTGTGTTATTCAAAGAGATTCTGTTGTGAAAATGACTCCCAGGGGCTTAAAAGCACAAGTTACAGGCTTAACTGCTTTAGCTCTCAGTAACCTAGTAAGACCAGATGAAAGGAGAGAAACTGGTAGCAAAGCCAAGTGTTACAGATGCCCCATAGCTCTTTTCCCAAGATGGATGTATTCTAATTGCTAGCCACAAAAGTACTTAATAGCAACAGCCTTTCTTGTAGAGGAATATTAATAATAAAAATCCATAGAACAACTGACAGACTTCAAGGGCCAGGCCTCTAAGTGTTTGTTCTAATCCTGATGCTTTGCCTTTCATATTAGATTTTAACTGCTGCGTTTTTTAGTTCACTAGCATACATAAGTTAATAAGTCTTTATTGTTCCAGTAACAGGAGAGACAACTATCATTATCCACACCTGAGTGACTTGGGTCTAAGATACAAAAACAGAGAACAAGCTAGAAATCCTGTTCTGCTTCAAGACTAATTATAGCTCATACTCTCTTGATCCTAGGGGATCTAACAATACCTGGATAATTCAGATCTTGGCAATTTTTAATAAAATTTTTAAGAAGTTAGAATCCTGGTTGAAAATACTGTACATCCATATATGGGTGTTTTGGTGATATTCATATCCATACATCACCTTTTCCTCCTTTAAAAATTACATTCAAGAGCTGAAAGATGTAAAACGAACACAAATTCTATACAGTAAATATTTTTAAGTAAGCATTTTAACAGCAGATGAATTATGACAATTGTGTATATACTCACCAACAGCAGCTGTAAAGTACTGCTTGATTTCACTGGGGGTGAGTGCCCTTTCCCATATAATAAATTCATCAAATGCCCCATTCACATAGCGCTTAGACTGATCCCCCTCTGCCCCAGTCAGTAGATTTGCAGTGGGGTCTCCATAATCATAGAAAACTTTCCCATCTGGATCAGTTGTGTTTAGAGTTCCATTGACATAGACTTTCAGTCCTTCTTTTGATTTCCAAGTAAAGAGAATATGAGTCCAATAAGGACCTGCAAAACATTAAAAGTCACAGCAAAATCCATTATTCAATTCCATTTAGAGTCTCTCCTGCTCAGTAAGTTTTTGCTGACTTGTGCAATGCTTTAGAGCTATATAGAAAGTGCTAAGAGTGAATTATGGAATGCTGATGTCATGTATATTAATCTTTATACCCATGGGGAAGCCCATACTTTGGCAGAATGCCATTAGCTTTTGTCTGAACTTACTTGGGCTCACTGCAGTTTCATAAATTACACTTACGAAGTATTACTGGCCGAGATCTGAAGTCTGTTCAATACTGTCTCAAAACTCAGTTCAGCAAGAACTGCATAAAGACCACAAGTACTGGAGAACAAGCCAATAGACTAATTAAAAGTTGCCAGGCTTTTCTGTTGTACTTGTGAAGCTGAAAACATAATACTAATTTTCACTTGTATTGAATAATCCACAAATACTTGAAATATTCTTACCGTTTAGCAGCTTCTCTCAAGATTTCTAAACTGATTTATTAAGCTTTATAAAACTCTGACACCAAAAGGTAAGAAAGTCCTATTTTACCATTGTACAGGTAGTCAAATTGAAGCAAGAAAAGATTTGGTGACTGTCACTGGCAGAACTAGATAAGAGTTTGTTCCAGTCACTAGGTAATACCACTATCCAACAATACACAGTTTAGATAGAAGCAGTGAGATATGGGATATACCAAGATGTTTATTAATACAATGCCACAGCATACTACACTTGACACTCAACAGATAATAAAAATGTCCAAAGCACTAAACAGCTAGTTAAATAGTTACCAAATAAAGTATTAATTTCAGAGACAGTAGAGCACAGCACATGTTTGCAGTTTTAGAACGTACTGAGAACTGTCAGGGATTAATCTGCATTCTTTCCTCATGTTTCTATTTAAGCCCTCGTTAATCTACTGGTGTCAATAAGAATTCCACTAAAGACACAACAGGATGTTGGGCCTGAGGACTATTACTAATAGTAAATGGTCTGTAATACAATACCACTTTCTTTCAGTTTGTAATTTCTCTCTCTCTCTCCACATCAAGATAAATCTTAAGCACAGAACTCTGTAGTCATTTTTATAAACCCACTTCTCTTTCCTGAAGTTGTGCTCTGACCACTACAACCCTCTGCAAGAATAAAGTAAAATTTAACAAAGAAATTAGTAAAAAAAAATAATTATAAAATTTACCTGGTGGACTGAAGCTTGCTTTCCACTTCATTGCATTCCCACGGGTGTAAAATTCCACTGAGCCTTCACCTTCATTTGAACAGATTTTGAAACCACTGGAAATTACTTGTCCACCAGAGGCAGGGAGAAACTTAGCCTGCTGGTCTTGAGTCTTCCAGAAAAAGGAAAATGTTACTCCTGATGAAAGCAAGTAAGAAGAGATTTTAATGAGGAAGAGACAAATGCAATTTAAAAAAATCTTCAATACTGTAAAATACAGAGAATGGGAGTGTCTTTTAGCACAGAATCTTCTAGCATAGACAAGGACACCATTTCATATACCTATACAGAGCCATATATAAAATTCTGAGGTCCGCACACACAAAAATCCAAGAATTCTTCCCAAAATATAAGTGCAATCTTGCAAGTGCTTGCATGATTAACTTTGTCCACAAATACACTTGTTCAGTCCAAAATAAATTTTACTATCATACTCTAAAATTGAAGAGCTCTTCAGATTGCACATTAGTGAAGAAATACAGTTTCTGTGCTACGTTTCTTTAATAAGTGTTAGCACAAAAGACTTGACTGAAACAAGTGGCAAATCAAAATTCCCTTGCACTTCAGAAGTTTATAGTGATTCTGCTGTACAGGTTCTGCAGTCAAATGCAATTACAAAGAAAATGGCTCAGCTAAACAGGTCCTAAAAATGTTCATCTCAGAATTTATAGTATAAAGTGCTAACAATAAAATCTGAGTTCAGAGCAGCTTGAGAAACAGTTTATGAAGCACAGAAGTTGAAGAAGTTTTGCCACAAAGAATCATAATAAATTAAGTTGGCAATGACCATGAAGATCATAGAGTCCAAAGTGCCTGCTCAAAGCAGGGTCAATTTCAGAGCTAGATCTGGTTGCTTAGAGCTCAGCTGAGATTTTAATGTCACCATGGAGGCAGACTGCACAACCTCTCTATGCACACCGTCTTGATGCTTGGTCATCCACATTGCAAAGAAATTATTTTTCCTTAGATCTAATTAGCATTTCCTGTGCTACCATGTGCCTGCAATGCCTGATATTTTCACCATGCATCTCCAAGGCTGTTTGGCTCCATCTGCTTCTATAACCACCTATCAAGTAGTTAGCATTCTCTTTTCTTCACGGTGTAAGGGAAAGCCTCAGCCTCCCCTCCCATGTCACATTGCCCAGCCCCCTAAGTCATCTGCTGAACTCATTCTAACTTGTCAGCAACTCTTTTATATCAGGGGACATAAATGGGACCTAGTACTTGAGATACACTCTCATGAGCTCTGAACAGAGGGGAATAATCACTTCCCTTAACCCGCTGACTATGCTCTTTTGACATGTAGTCAAAATATCTGTTGGGCTGATCTTATAGTTAGCAGTTCTGCAGCACGAACTAGGTCAATTTGTTACCAGATGACCCAGCACAAATTAATGAAGCCCTAAAACTCTTATGCACATTTCTTGTTAAAACATTTTTTTTTAATGTTTCACAATTTTATTATTAAATATGTAAAAACTTCAGACAGCTTACTACAGTAATCAGAAATATTATCCCCCACTACTCTCCAGGACATTTTTTCTATTTCTCATATTCTTTGTCACATTACCTTAGTAGAAAAATTAAAAATTATATTACTATGCAGTAAAATAATTTAACTATCTAATATCCCCCTCTCTAACAGATCTTTTGTTTATCCTTATGACAGGACCAATCAATTCACATGATCTGCACACCATTCCCTAAATGCTTCATACATGATAAAATAATCACCATGGAAATGCTAATCAATTATCATTGTCCTCCTAGAAGTCAATCAGGGTATGAGCATTATCAGCCTCAGTTTGCTAGATCTTGATGGGTATGTTTAAAGCTGAAAATGCTGCAAACTCCCAGCTGAAGGATTTCAGGGCTGTTATAGGCAAGCTGCAATATCTTCATCAGCAAGATGAAGCAGTCAGCCTGAGCTCATCTTTCAGCCTCTTCACCACACCAGTAACAGGTTGAGACACTGATCCAACCCTCTTTCCAGAAAGCCATGCATTTCCCTTGTATCTGCACACCATCCTTCACCACTCTGGTGAAAGGGCCACCAAGGCTGATCACATTTATCTATTATTGCTGTTCATGTGATTCCTCTGTCAGAGCCTCTCTCAATCTTTTCCAGCACTTCACTACACTTCTGAAAGGTATGGAAGTGCTGTTGTTCCTCCATTACAGACTGAGAGATGAAGTTTAAAAGGTGTAGCCAGAGAGACTTAAGTTACACAGCATGTCTGCAGTGGAGCCAGTTTCTCATTTCTTTGGCCACCCATTCTGTTAGACCATCCTGTAGCTCCTAATCTTTCTGTAGCTACAAGAAAAACCATCAATCTAAATCCTCCTTATGTACATTTAAGTTAATGAAATGCTCAAACTGCAAATAAAAATTAAAATAAGGCACACAATAAAGACACAGCATTACAAAATGCTGTGTTGTGTGTAGGGTTGCTTTTTCAATTTCCACTTCACATATGTTGACTAAATCCAACTTCTCTTGCTGTGTTCAAGCTAATGATTAAGAGAACATTTTCTTGCATCTTTCATAAATGTTTATTCTGACTGAAAATTCCACTTCAATGAGCCTAAAACACCTTACAGAAAACCATTTCTGAAAAATTACTGAAGGCAGTAGAGAATCTTTCAACATTCAAAAATATGAAGAATTTGTTTTGTCAAGTCAAACAGTATTTAGGCTAGAAAAAAATTCAGGGATTCCTGGTTCATGGGTTGTACTATTTCATCTGAAAAGTTGCCATGATTATTTCAGAAAGTTTTCCCTGTTCAAGTGTACCTAAGACCAGTTTCACAGGAACATAATCAACTAACATCAAAACTAACATCAAGGCACATTTAGGTAATAGTAGGCTTGAATAAAATTACACCTTATCATTGTCACAGGTTTTATCTGACTCTGAGAAAACCAAAGACATTCTTTAGCTAAAGACATGTCAGATTTTTAATTTATTTTTCACACCTTCTACTGTGATTTAGTATTTATTGGTTATATGATTTCTTTCATGTGCAGAAAGCCACCCTTTTCCACTGATTCATCCATATTTATTGAATTTTAAATCTCTAATGAAGGTTTTAAGCTAATGACTAGTTCTATGTTTGATTTGACAGCTATATGCAGTTCTAATCATCTTAATCTGCACATTGTCAAACCTGTGTCCCCCTATTCCACCTGTCATTTTGTGACTGTAGCCCAAGAAGAAAAGGAAGAGATATAGAATGAAGATATTTAAGCATCTACCAGGACAAATAGATTCCAAGACACCAGAGATTTAAAAAATTATCTCCACAGATAAATTTAAATCATTCCTGGTAATAAGCCATACTGAAAACTGTCTCCTAAATTTGAAGCCTGTAGGACAACATTATTTGCCAAACTGCAGTTCCTGTAGAAATTAATCTCAGTGCCACAAGCAAGATTTGGACATAAGATTATTTGTTTTTGTCAGAATTAATTATACTGTAGATAACCAATTTGAGTAGTTGGTGATTAGTTCTAATTTAAATTGCAGTTAGAAAAGATGAATTTTTCAGTAATCAGCACTCAGTTGTTTTAAAAGTCAATAAAAAAAAGTATCAGGCTAGAATTTTAGAGAGTTCATTCCAATGAGGAAAGAAACAACAATTGTTTAATTACACAATTTGACAGAAAAAGATAATCAAATAGCAATTAATGAATTTACAAACCTTCAGGTCCACAAACTTCTGGATTACTAATGCAAGAATTTTGATAGCTTCCAAAGAAGAGAAAGGTAACTCCTTTCTTTTCAGTGACATAAATTCCTTTATTCACCATGCCTTCTACAATATCTATAGGAAAAGCAAAATATAGTTTAACATTTGTATAAATGAAAACTCTTGGGGAACATGATTTTAACAGACCCATACACCTCATTTGCTTCTTATCTCATCTATTTGCTTATAATTAACTTATATTCAAAAGGCAGGAATACATATACTTTTCAGTCATCCTGTGGTACAGCATCATTGTCTTTTGGAAATTCTTTGTCTAACATGGATAATGATTGATTGTATTGTGATATGATTGTGATTTTCTTGTGTTCCCTCCTAAAGAAACAAACTGTTGATTCAACTTCTGCCTAGCTAAAGCACACAAGCCTTCTTAATACTATAAAAACATGACAGTTGTTTGATATAGGAAACCTAAGGTCCAAGTCCAATCTGATAGATGATGGGAACTTCATTTCATTTGTTCCAAGATAAAGAGAGGGACTATTTTTAGCAAGGAAGACAATAAGAAATCACACACACAAAAAAAAAAAATAAAATGTTGTGTTAAAAAGCCTGCATTCCACAGGAGACAGAATATTCCATTATCTGTTTTTGAGCAGAGAAAATGTAATTGCTCATTTTGGAACTTCATATTAATACCATTGTTTGTGATGGAAACTCTGCAACGACTGGTAAGATTCAGGCCCTTGGTTTTAAGACTTTTCTATAATTTCTTCTGAAAAGGTGTTGGAAGAGTTGTTCCAAGGGAAACACCAGCAATGAGAATAGAGTCTTTTCCAGCTCTGAGGTGCAGAAATTGCCTGCTAGGTGCTGCTTGGTATTTGAAAATCTAATAAGATCATAAAGGCAATAAGGAAGGCACACAAATGGTCTAAAATATATGAAGGGTGGGACATAAGGGACTTATCTATTTATCACTGCATATCTACTTGACTTAACAGATGCCTTCTGCACAGCAGTACACAGTGCAAAT